TTCTAACCTTTTCTACCCACGATATCCTCATCATCCGCCTATAACACCACATTTCGAACGCTTCTAACCTTTTCTTTTCCGCCGCGCCCACTGTCCATGTTTCGCACCCGTACAACGCCGTGCTCCAAACATACACATAATTTAATTTCTAAATTAACCGTTCGCGAGCACAGAAGTGACTTCTTTTTAGTAAAGGCGACACGACCCTGCGCTATCCTCTGCTTTATATACTTACTACTCCTTCCATCCTTACTTATCTGACTTCCTAGCTATCAAAAATCAGCCACTTCTTCTAATCTTTCGTCTCCTATCTTTATATTCGCTCTTTGCCTACTTTTTCTTCCCTTGCATATCAGTATTTTAGTTTTACTTTTATTTATTTTCATACAGTACTGATCTGTCAGTACCGCTTCCATTTTATTTAAAGCTATCTCNTGTGATTTTAACTGTTTATTCTAATTTATTACACATAAATCCATGTTTCATCATACTAAGTTTAACTACAAAACCACCTTGGACTTTCAGATTTTATAACATAGAACCTTACCTTGAAGATGCCCTATAATTGAGGCGAAACGTAGGTCGTTGGTCTCGTAAAAATAAAAACTTCTGCCCCATTGTAGCTTAATTTCTTACTTTATACAATTGGTAGGGAAGAAATGACAACAAAATGTTTGATTTCAATTCATAAGTTCCTTGAACGCATGCTACAATTGTCAATTTAATAACAAATGAATAGTGACAAAGTTACTACTTAGTGAAATAATGAGTACCCTGTAATGCTAAACTGTGCATTTACATGATTTCGTACTTTCTGTAGGAATTTTCATTCTAGTCAAAAACTTCTTTTGTTATAGTGAAAAGAGGTGAGGTACAATTAGACACGTTTTATGCAACAATGTTTTAGCATTTGTTAATATAAAGCAAGGTGAAGCGTTTTAAGATTTACGTGTTCACTAAAAATAATTCATTGTGGGGCAGTGGTTGTATAATATTCGCATAAATACTTATATGTATTCGTTCCTTTGAATATATCTAACATAATACAATAACGGTGTACTTGGCAACCACGCTATCGGGAAAACGTGAAAAGTGAGTAGTTACCTATTATTGCTATAACAACGTTGGAAATGAACGGAAAATTCAAGAACTGATTTCGTCTTTGTTTGCATGTGTTCGTAGAAGCACTTGCTAGGTCACTTTCCGGTACTGTGAGGCATGTTGCTTCCATTGGACGCTCAGGTAGCGCCACATTTGCCATGAGCTTGTTTTCCTATAATAAAAATTGTGAGTTATTAATGAAGAACAACAGACCAATTTTTATTTTAGACAGCATCTATTTAATATTTTTTAAATAAGAAACAGTTGAAAATGCTTATAATGAATATTTATCTGAACAACAAATTTTCACTATTAATTTTATTATACCCACATAAATGTTCCTACGGCATCCTCATACGAAGTATTGACGCAATTTGTTGGTGCAATCTTTCAAATATATATACAATATACAAGTATACATTCCTATTCTAATAGTGAGGCTAATTCAACCATGTAGTTTATCTAATATTAATGAACTGAAGATATTTTCAATTCTACTTAAAACTGTTGTGTCATTTTTTTTTAATTTCCAAAAACTCCATCATACCTCTATTTAATACTTTACCCATCTAATTTGTGTTGTTAAATATTCATTTTAATGCTTATGTATATATTTATTTTACCTACAAGCTATAAAATAGTGTCAACTTAAAATAGCAAAGTGGAAAATGGAAAATTATCTAAAAAAAGACCCAATGCAGTTTCGCGTTGATAATGGCTACCTTAGAAGTAGTGATGTAACGGAAGTGTCATAACGGAAAAACAGGCGAAAACAGAAGTAAATAGTAAATTTATGCGGAAGCGGAAGTGTAATGAAAAATAAGATTTTGTTAAGTTCCGATAAGCTTGCGCTATAAAAATGCGGAACCTGATGCAGAAGCGGATGTAAAATATTTGCGGAACTCCCGTAATTGCAGAACTGGAAGCAGAGGTCTGGTGCAACACCCCCAGTAGCACAACAATATTGGAAAAATATTACATTTACATATTGGTTCAATGATGGAAACGTCAGATTTTTTTTTAATGGCCCTATGTAGATTGTTAATATTAACCCAATATTGAAATTAAATATTGTATCAATGTTAGGGAATAATATGTGTGCAATATTTATTTTAAAAATACAGCCAATATTTGTTTTCCAGATTGGTGCAATATATGTTTTATATATAGTCACAATATATCATGTATACATAGGCACAATATCTACCCCATTACCATAAAAATATTGGTAAAATATTANGATGTAACGGAAGTGTCATAACGGAAAAACAGGCGAAAACAGAAGTAAATAGTAAATTTATGCGGAAGCGTACGTACATACACACATCATCAAAAAAATTGGCTAGCATGCTACTAATATGTTAAAACGTGGAAATATAATGAAAATTCCGATTTCACTTTTCGACCCAATTACAATAACTTCCTAATGGGAAGTTAATAAAAGTTATTGCAAAATATCTTCTACTAATATTGGATCAATATCGGATAAACATTGTATTAAAATATAGGAAGAAGGTACATCTTCTATATGTTGCCAATATTGACCAACGGTTAGTTTAGGTTAGGTTGCAATTTCTATGCGACCTAAAAGTTAACTATCAATCTTCCAAGAATTTTGGTACCCAAGCGCCGGGCAAAGTGCCTTTATATGGACTCAATTTTGTCAAAGATGTTTTATCATGTTAGATCAATATTGGATAAATATTCTATATAAATAAAGGAAAAGGTACATCCCTTGCATATATTGCCAATATTGGATAAATATTACATATCAATATAAATAAAAGTTATTGCCAAATATCTTTTGTTAATATTGGATCAATATCGGATAAATATTGTATTACAATATACGAAAAAGGTATATATCCTATATATTACCAATGTTGGTTATAAATTGCCAATATTGGGCCCATATACAATATTGTACCAATATAGAATAAATATTGGGCCAATGTCGTGTGCTACTGGGGACTGGTTAAAAGTGAGCAAAACAAATGTCCCCAGTGAGCAGGTTTTGTGGTAATTGAGAAGGATGAGTCTCTTTTTGGTTTATTTAAAATAAGATAATTATCAAAAATAAAAATTGATGAAAAGAAAAGGAATGTAAAATCTACTCATAAGTATTATGGGTTGAATGAAACGTTGAAAAGGATAGAAAACCATGCATATACTGTAGTATGAATTATGTACCTATACATAAAACACGAAGTAAAATCCTAGTTAACCTTTTATACCATTACATAATCGATTTTTTTGTACATTAAGTCAACGAGCAAACATGCAATAGTAGAGTAATCCTCAAGGTTGTTCGAACGATTTTCCAGAAGTAATAAAAACTCAAATCATAAAGTTAAAAAAAAACCGTACGGTTACTGTTCTAATTTTCACAGATCTGTAGTTCACCTAGGAATTCTTACAAAAAGTGGTTCTCAATTCGACTGTTTTTTTTTGTGTGTAGATATGTTGCGTGATTTCTTCGCCGATTGCCAACCGATTTTAATAATCCTTTTGTCATTAGAGAGGCTATACTTCTAGGGTGGTCTCTTAAATTTGAAGAAAATATTCACTTCTAAGGGTGGAAAATTAAGGGATGATTCCCATTTCTAACTTTATAGTTTAATTTATTCATGCAGAGGGTAGTCCATGAAGTACACAATATGATGCTCATTGATTTGATTTACTTACTATACAGAGTGTTCAAAGATAGAAAGGTTTCATTTAAATGCCAGCATAATTAAACACGTATTAATAAATATATACGAAACACTTTGACATTTAATAGTGGTTAATATCAAATATTAATGTGAAAATTAATTATCAGTTTCTTACCCATCATTAACCTAAGGTAGTTTATAGTGGGTAAAAATTGAAAATGAATTTTCACATTAGTATTTGATATTAACCACTATTTAACGTCAAAGTGTTTCATATATATAGTGTTAATATAATCAATGACATTAGTTCGACCGACCTGTGACCTCTCATTAACCTGAGGTTTATAGTGGTTAAAAAATTAAAAATGTATATTCAAATTAATATTTAATTAAATAGGTGTTTTAGAAAATACGACAANGAATGTCAAAATGTGGGACCATACAAAAACGCTCGACGTCTACTCTGAAAACTGTCCTACATTCATCGAAATCTTTTAATCAAAGTGTAAGAGCCCCAAAAGCTTTGAATTGCATTTATTGCACTTACATTTTACAGAAATATTTACTAGGATATACAATACCGAGGCTATTTAGGAAATCTATAAATTATTATTTCAAAGATTTTTTGATACACACATATCCTGGGAAATGTATACATTTCCTAGGAATTGTATGAAATTCGATATTGTACTAGGAAATGTATAAAACTAATGCTATCTGGAAATAAAATGAATAAAACATGTTAGTAAACCGAGAATCATAGTTATCAGTGTTTACGCGGTTCTATTGCTTGGTTAGGTTAGGTTTGGAGTTACGTTACTGTACGGTTGTTAGGTAGATTTATGATAGACTGGAGCTTCTTTAATGCCGCTGTCCGCTAAGCGGGCTGATATGATGGAATAATGTTTTCGAAAAGTTCGCTTCATTAGGATCTCCGTGCCCAACATATATATGAAAATGATCAGCATTATCACCTCTATAACTAAAAATTCAAGGCCATCGTGTTTGCTGAACAAAGGTAACCTCATAACCTCCGGGTAGAGGCTTTAAAGAAACTCTAGTCTGTCATAAATCTCCCTAATCAAACAATGACGTCATGAATGGATATAGGTACAACTCCAAATAACCTGCCGTATTATTGCCTATTTAGTATTACCTGTAATACATTTCCGATTGCTATTTAGGAAATGTATAGATTTTCTAGGAAATGTGTCTAATATAATTTATTTCACAAATTTTCGGGCGATTTTACGAATTATATATATTTTCTAGGAATTGTATACAATGACGGATTTCATATATTTCCGGTAACATATACACATGCCACAGCTCTTTCATACTGTCTAATACCTAAGTATTTTATTATATGTACCTATTATTTTATAGAAAAGTTTTTCATTCATACACTAAATACGTATGCTCAACTAGAATACTTTACAGCTGTACATTAATTTAAAAACTAATCATTAAGGACCGTAAAATCGCAAACGATTTATGACTCCTCGTGAATATAAATATGTCACATCCTCATTAATGAACTCGGCATGCTACTTTTATTGTAACTACACAATAACAGAAGTACTCCGGGCATGTTTGGTTAATCGTGTGCATAGTTTCGTTAAATACAAGCAGTGTGATTTTTTGCTCTATTTTTTGCACATGGGATTTGATAAAAAGATAACAATACTGTGAAATTTTCAAAAATCCTTTATTTTGTGATTAAAGGATACTTTGAACCTTCTAGCCAGAACGTGAAGCAAAATTTTTATACAAGAAAAAATTGTTTCCTTTGAAATTTGTACCTTGCCTCATGTCTTATTTATTGATTTTTGATGAGACTAACACACTAACTAAACTACAGATTTTATATTTTAATTATTTAAAAGGCACGCTTGTTGGCTGATCGTCTGCAAAGCGCTAATATAAGATGCACGAGTAGAAGAAAGACAGTAATAGTCAGTGAGAATGTATATTGTAATGTTCGTGGGTTTAACAAAATTAACTTCTACTACTGATAGCGACAAAAACTATAGTTATTTACAATAATTATTGAAGAATTTAAAAACACTATTAAATCATTAATAAACTTAGGTTATGAATTATTCTATTTATTTACACTACTGTTGATATATCACTATTCATTGCACTATTTATTTCACTGCTATCACTGTCAATTTATTTCTGGATTCACTTCTGCAACGGTCAATTTATTTCTTCTCTTTTCGGCGATCGTCTCTTCCTTTAAATACTCTTTTGTTTACTTTCGGGAACCTTATGGAAACGTCCGGATAATTTATTTTTTCTATGAGCTGTTTAACTGCTTTCCCAGAACGCAGGTACGACATACACATTTACAAATACGGCGCACATGAAGAAATGCGCCCGCGGCTAGTCGGCGAATCGATAAAAAATATAAAAAAAATCAAACAATATGAAAAACAGCCAAAAAACATTGTTTTGGCATTTGTTTAAACAATCGTGATTTAAACAATACCCGACCGGGTAACCGGCTGACAAC